GGAGGAGGAGGAGGAGGAGGAGGAGGAGGCGGCGGCATTGGCTTCCTGTTTCGGGGGGCACCTTCCCTGCATCCGTGGATCTGGCGCCCACGCGCCAGATCCTCGGACCAACGCGCCGGATTTAAGTCGGGCCTGGCTCTCCACAGGAGGGAGACTCCAAAATAGTCTAAAGTTTTTTGTTGTTGTTGATTTTCGCCTGTAGGATGACACGCCCGACCTGATGCCAGATCCACGGATCCCTCATCCGAGTTGGCGTGTGCCTGAATTTCCCACGCCTCGGAGGGGCCGTCGTGGGAGCTGCTCACAGCTGCCCTCGCTCTCACCGAGAGCCCCCCGCCCGCTCCCTGAGGAGCCCCAGATGCTGATTGCGACCGAGGGTGCCCAGGTCAGGCCCGCGTGGGAGCCGCAAGAGGGGCCGCGGCCGGCCGGGTCCGTCACGAACGGGCACTTCGTCGTGAGCGAGCACGGGGAGCTCAGCCCGAGTTCGGCAGGCGCTGGCGGTGACAGCAGCAGGCCGCGCCGGCACTCGCACCAATCTGGCAACACTGGCGTGTTCCAGTTCGCGGACTCCGAAACGATCAAGGAAAAGGTCAGGAAGTCCAGAGCTACAAAGGAGATTGGGCGAAGAAGAGTAATCATGATAATACGAAGAAGAGAAATGGTAACACGAGGAATACTCATAATAACGTTAGCCAGCGTGGACCCTAAACAGTGTGTTTCAAGCATTCTGCCTTGTGCGACCTATGTGGTGCAATCTATGCTGTGCAATCTATGTGGTGCAACCTATGCGGTAGATTACATGTTGTGCGCTTTAGGTGATGCAATATATATGTATATATATATATATATATATATATCCTGTCCTCTCCTCTGCTTGTGCAAACGTCCCACCCTCCCACCCGCTAGTTGGTCGCAAGCCTTTTAAGACCATGACGGTGGGTGCCAAATGGCACTTGGCAACGACACCGACGCCGACGACGACAGCGACAACGACGACGACGCCGCCGACAACGACTACGACGACACCGACGACGTCTCCAATGACTTCGACGACGACGACAACGACGATGACGACGATGACACCGACGACGACGACGCCGACGCCGATGACGACGATGACGATGACAACGACGACGACGACGCCGACGACGACGATGCCGACGCCGACGCCGACGACGACGACGACGACGATGACAACGACGACGACGACGCCGGCGACGTCGTCAGCGAAGACGACGACGAGGGAGGAGGGAGGACGACGACGGTGGCAACGACGACAACGACGAGGGAGGAGGGATGACGGCTACGACGCGAATGCCGAAGAAGGAGGGAGGACGGCGACGCCGACGACGGCAACGACGAGGGATGAGGGAAGACGACGACGACGGCGACGAAATAGGAGGGGCAACGACGAAACGCCGACGAAGACGACGAGGGAGGAAGGACGACCACGGCGACAACGACTACGAAAACGACGACGACGCCAAGACGACGACGACGAGGACAGACAGAGGACGACGATGGCGACGACGACGACGACGAAGGAGGAGGGAGGACGGCGACGACGACGACGACGCAAGAGCGCGCGCGCAGACTTTTGTTGAACATCCGTGTTGCGAAACCCTTAACTTTTGTATATTTTTTGGACACTCGATTTGTTTTTGTCGAAACCGAAGGTTTTTGAAGGATTTCGGCATGCGCGCGCGACGACGCGCGCGTGCGCACTTCGTCCCGTTTTTTGGGGAGGATTCTCGCGACGGCACGCGCGCAAGAGCGTTCGGAAGATTTCGACATGCGCGCGCGAAGCCCATTTGGTAGTAGATCTTGGAAATGTTGAAAACCAATGGCTTTCTTAAGATTTCGCCAGAGCGCGCGCGTAAGTTTTTTAGCAAATCAGTGTTGCGAAACCTTGTGTTTTGTGTATTTTTCTTTGGAAACTCGATGTTTGAATCCTTCCGAAATTGAAGGTTTGTGGAGGATTTCAGCATGCGCGCGCGACGACGCGCGTGTGTGCACTTCGTCTTGTTTTTTTCCCAATCCTCCTATGGCTGGGTACTCGTTTTGAATAGAGCAGTGTGGTTGCCCCGTCCTTTTCCTCCCCGCCTCCTCCCCGCCTCCTCTCCTGTCTCCTGTGTTCCCCTCTCCTCTTCTCTCGTGCCGTCGGGCTGCGATCTGCGAAACTGTCGCCACGTTCGTGGGCTCCTGGGAGGCCCAGCGGAGGTGGCCCGCATGATATTATTTGACAGGGCCGTGCCCCCCCCAAGCACGCGCGCAACACCGTTCGAATGATTTCGGCATGCGCGCGCGAGGGGCCCGTTTGGTCTCATGCGATGAACATGTTGAAACATGAGTTTCGTAAGATTTCGCATGGGGCACCTCGATGACATCGGTGTGAAACCCACGGCTTTTGAGTATTCTTGGCATGCGCGCGCGACGCTGCGCTACAGATGGCTTTTGAGAAACAACGGTGTGCATACTATTATGTGGCAGGGGTGAGGGGAAGGGTTGGGGTCGATACGGGGATGCTATGAGTTCTTGTGTGACATGAACGATGGGGCAACATCGTATGGAAGTTGTACAATCCCAACAGGGAGCGCGAATTCCGGGTGTGTGTGGTTGGTCGATCCTCGGTTTTGTTTCTAGAAATCGTATGTCCGTTGTGCAGTTTGGGGCGGCGACGAGGCGGCGACGGCCGGCATAGCCGCCACACCTGCAGACAACCCAGACGTCGGGCGGCGACGAGGCGGCGACGGGGCGGCGACGGCAGCAAGATAACCGCCACAGCGGCAAGCAGGCCTAGACGAAGTCGGCGACGCGGCGGCGACGGCGGTTACATAGCGGCCAGACCGACAGATAAGCCCACACGATGGGCGGCGACGAAGCGGCGACGGGGCGGCGACGGCGCCTACAGAGCTACTAGGCCGACAGACAGGCCCACACGATGGGCGGCGACGAAGCGGCGACGGGGCGGCGACGGCGCCTACAGAGCTACTAGGCCGACAGACAGGCCCAATTCCGTTGAAAAGCAAGACCCACGAAGCGCGAACACCGTTTGGGGAGTAAGAACAATACAGATGACAGCGAAACTAAAACGAATCATGATGTTAATGATGCTAGCAATACGACGCGGAATGGTAACAATACGAATCATGCGACTCGTGCTGATAGACACAGAGAAAAAGCATTAGCATAAACTTCGGGGTCCACAGGGATTTCTTGGATCTGCGATGGGCCCCCCTGGCGGCGCATCGGGCGCCGCCCCTGGCGCGCTCCGTGCGCCAGGAGGAGGGAGCAGGAGCCGATCCAAGAAACTCGCAGGGACGAGCGTTTATGATTGTGCTGTTTGTTGTTGCTCGCATCGGGGTGGATGAGACTTCAGGGATCTTGGGATTCGCTCCGCTGGCATCGGGAACGGGAGGGAGGAGGGAGGCAGGAGGACGAAGACGATGGGAAGGGAGGATGAGGAGGATCAAGAGGAGGAGAAGGAGGACGAGGAGAAGGAGGAGGAGGAGGAGGAGGGAGGAGGAGGAAGAGGAGGGGGAGCGAAAGAAGAGGTAGGGCTGACGAATCATTCGATGCCAACAACCTCATCTGAACTCAACAGGCAAAGTACAAAGTAGAGAATTTCTACCACTCCGATGGCATCTGTCAGCAGATCGCGACTGATCCACGCTTTGAGAATGTCACCCTGTGTGTCATCATGGGCAACGCCATCTGGATCGCCATTGACACAGATTGGAACACATCCACGACCCTCTTGGATGCCGGCGTTGGTTTCGTCGTGGCAGACGTGCTTTTCTTCGCGTATTTCAGCATGGAGCTCTTGATCCGCTTCTGTGCCTTCAAGAGAAAATGCGACTGCGCCAAGGACGCGTGGTTCGTGTTCGACACCTTCCTGGTCGCCTTGTACGCCTTCGATCCCTTCATCATGGCTGGCGTAGCTTCGGCGTCAGGCGGCGGTGGGTTGGATGGTGGATCCCTGCCTCGCCTGCTGCGATTGGCACGGCTTTCCCGTTTGGTTCGCATGCTTCGGGCGCTGCCAGAGCTGATGATAATGATCAAGGCCAGGGGCCCAAATATAGATAATACCAGTGCGTCCCTCACCTTCCCGCCATCAGGAAAGAGGAGATGAAGAGCAGGGCTGAGGGTGTTGGGGGGGGTGTAGTGAGGTATTGGGCACTTCTGGGTCCCTGCTAGGGAATGGTGACTGCGGCGGGCGTGGTAGGCTACACTCTCGGTTTGCTTGTTGTGTTGACGTACGTGTTCGCTATCGCAATGGTGCAACTTGCGAGGGGCACAGAACTTTCAGAAGACGGGGCATACATGTCCTGTGTCGCCATGGCCATGTACTCCCTCACAATACACGCAACCTTCCTGGACGACCTGGCGGACTTCGCTGACGCGCTCAAGGCACAGGACAGCCCACTGATCTCGATGGCTTCGCGCTCTGCCGCTGGTCACCCACTAACGGATCTGTGGCTCGATTGGTAACTGCCGGGTTGGACACTTGTGTCGGTTGCGTGGTCGCGTGTCGTTTGGTGTGTCGAACGGATCCGTGGCTTGGGGGCCGTCGGATTAAACATTGAGCCTTCGCGCGTCTATCCTGGAGTTTCTCTTGGCATTTTCTTGTGCGTCTCCTTCTCCTCCTCCTCCTCCTCCTCCTCGCAGCCATCATGGGGCTGTCTTTGTCAGTGATCAACGATGATGGGGCATCTCAGGGCCTCTGGGGGTACCTTCGGAATCATCTTGGGCAGTCTCAGGTCCATCCTTGGAACGCTGGGTCCCGTCCTGAAGTATCTCCGATACCCTTGCGGGAGGAAGACGCGACATGTAAAACACATTGAACAACCCGAGGTTCTCATGTGTCGTGGGTTCTTTCGTGGACAATTCTGCTCTATAGCATTTGCGGCCATCTGGAAGACCATCTGTAGCGTTTCCGAGGCACCGCGTTGACGCGGCGGCGACCTTAGCGCGGGCGTCAAGGATGAATGCGGCCAGTGGCCTGTCATCGGCCAGTGTCGAACGAGCTGCGTCTTCGGAAAGCCGCGACCGCTGGAGATTGAATGACCCGCGCGTCGCCAGAAGCCAACGCACAAGTCGTCACGACACGAACCTGCTGGAGGTGATCCTCAGGCATCCTGATGCGTCCTTGATGCTAACGGGAGGCTTGAGGCACCCTGGAACAATCCTGCGCCGCCTTTCCGCCGTCTTGGCGTCTTCGGGGTGCACATGTCGGGGGTGGAAAAGAGGGGGGTGATGACTAGGGGGGGGTGAATATCATGGCGTGGGCCATGATATTTCCTCAGATCTCATGGCGCCTCTTCTTGTTTCATTACGTGCCTCGGCCCCCCCAGGGGCCGCGCACATGCCGCCGGCCATGATTTGCGCCCCCCCCTCTTGGACGCCCCCCTCTTGGCCGCTCCCGAACACGTGCGACCTCGTCGTGCTTCTGGCCAGCTGCTTCTGGGAGGCAGCCAGGTGACCCCGACCTCCGAGGATCGATTTCCTTCCACTCCCGGAGTTTTCCTCAGTTTCTGGTCTCTGGGGTCGTTTTCGGGCTCCAGGACCACTCAACATTCAGGAGGGGAAGAAACACACAGACACAAGTAATCGGCGATTCCCAAGAAAATATGGGAAAATATGGGAAGTGGGGGGGAAGACTAAAACCCAGAGAATATGGGAAAATATGGGGAATCTTTTTATTTGTGTGTCCCAGAGCCCCTTCAAACATGCGCCCTGACGAAAAACTTGCCTGGCGTCACTGCCGTCCTGATTCTTTTGACTAGGCTTCAGCTCTGGGCTTCTGGACCCGGTAAAGCGGGGCAAGGTGGATTCGTTCCGTACCCGATTTGGCTCAAGGCTGAAGCGCGTGCCTTTTTTTCCGCCCGCGCGCCCGTTTCCCCTCCGTCACCCTCCTCCCTCAGTCGCTCCTCCGAGGGGGCCACCAAACCGAGTCGTGGCGACCAGGCGCGCGGCAGGACAACTCCTTCCCCGATCACCCTCCTCCTCCTCCTCCTCCTCCTCCTCCTCCTCCTCCTCAGCTGCCGCCCCTGCTCGAGAGGTTTTGGGAGCTGTAACAGGTACAGCGAACCTCTCACGAGGGGCGGGCGGCTACGCGCGCTGGCCCGCGCCCGCCGCTGCGCGGTGCGGCGGCCTGGGCATTGGCCGCGACTGCGACGGGTCGCACGCCGCGGGGTTTCCCGCTCGCCGCGGGCTCGCGCGCGGCCCAGCGGCCGTGGAGGCGAGCCAGCGTGGCACCGTCGCGATCGACAGGCCCGCGCCAGTGCATGCGTGCTGCTACGAGTTATAGGCGCGGCGCAGCGGCTGCGTGATCATCACAGTTCGATGTCGTGGCAACATCGGGGAGGAGGCAAAAGGTGGCGGCACGGGCAAAGGGCAAGGGCAAGCAGGTCGTGCCCGTCCCGCCACCGCCACCAGCATGGTGGTGCGAGCAGTGCGGCGAGCCCAACATGATGCAGGATAGAGTGTGCAGGGTGTGCTTCCCAATGCCTGCACAGGCGCCGTGGGCCAATGTTGGGCCACCGCCGCAGATGGCAGGCAGGCGACAGCAGACGCCCACCCCGCAGTCCGATCGGCGTGCCCGATCGTCGGGGGGGACGGATGGTCGCAGTCAGCAGGGAGAACGTGCCGATCGACGACGACGGCGTGGTCGTAGTCAGCAGGGAGAACGTGCCGACGCTGGTGCCGACGCTGCCGAGGCCACGCTCCCGCGGCGGCTGGTGCCGACGCCTGAGCCCGAGGCTGAGGCTGCGCCCGAGCCTGAGGCTCGCAGAGGCCGCTCGACGTCTGGGCCCAGGCGGACCCGAGCCTCTCGTCGGTCGAGGTCGGCAGATGTCACGTTCGAGGAGAGCGAGGTCGAGGAGGGCACGGACACGGAGGACTCGGCGGCGATGCAGCCACTAGGGGTGTTGCTTGCGCTCCCTGAGGAGGCCAGGGCGCACCCTTCATGGCTGGAGCCGCCTTGCACTGAAGAAGCAGTGCAGGTGCACAGGAGGTATCTTCGTCGCCTGGCCATCGCCTCCGCCAAGAAGCTGCGTGCAAGTCGGCAGCTTGGGCGCCCTGAGAGTGTGGCCAACGATTTGGCGCAGGAATATGCAGTCCTCATGACCATGATCATAGTGTGCAGATCGCCGACGACCAGGCTCCAGCGCCAGCGTGCCTTTGTGGAGCGGGCCGAGAAGAGGATGAAACGGGCGCAGGACGACGTCAGGCGTCATGTCCCAGCGTTCCAATGAGTTGGCGAGGGCGCAGCTATTGTTACGCCAACTGGAGACGCACTACCCAGAGCCGAACAGCGATGCCACGATGTCGCCGACGGCAGCCGCAAATGGGGACACCGGCACAGCCGCGCCGCCAGCAGGCGCGTCGCCGCGGGGGAGCCGCCCAGCGGATGCGCTGACGTCGAGCTCTGTCGCCGCCATCGCGGAGCTCCAGCAGGGCCAGGTGAACATGGCGCAGCAGTTGGCGGGGCTGTCGTCGGTGCTGGGCGGGCTGCAGGCGACGCTGGGGCAGCTCGCAGCGGGCGCGGCCCAGGGGCAGCAACCTGCAGCAGTGGCGCCAGCAGTGCCATCGCGGGAGGCGGAGGTGATTGCATCGCCAGGCCCTGCCGCGCCCGTGGTGGTGCCGGGCGCGCCCATCCTGGCGGAGGCCCAGGCGCGTCCCGCGGCAGAGCTACAGGCAGATGTCGATGGCGGGCATGGTGTGCCTGTGCCAGAGGATGCTGATGACGATGTGGCTTCCGACGACTGGGGGGCCAAGAAGGCTGCCCGATCGGCCCGCGCAAAGGCAGCTGCCGAGCGCCGTGCTGAGGCCGCCGAGGAGGAGCGCCCCGCCATGAGGGCAAGGGGCATTGCAGGTCCAGGGCAGCCAACCATCGTGGCAGCCATGGCGGCCAGCGGGGTGGCATCGTCACCGATGTCAAGCAGTGTGGGGCCGCGTGTGGTTCCTGGAGAAGAGCGCCCGATGCCAAGGGGGCGCGATGAGGCAACCCGCAGTTCAGATGTTGAGAGGGATCGAAGCCCCAGACGATCCCATGACGGCCATGGGGAGGACTTGTTTTCACAGGGGTGAGTTTGCCTGCGGAGGTGGACGCCGCCAGTGGGGATCGGCTCTTGCCCAGCGCGCGTTACCTCCGCAAGGGCTGCAGGCTCAATCGCGCAGTTCTGTCTTGCCGCGAAGTCCACTTCCAGATTGCAGCAGGCTCGTGGATGAGATCTCCAGGCCTGCCGCGGCAGGTTCTCTTGCGTAAAATTTTTGTCTCAGAGTCCAAAGAAGAGTGCGAATTGCCTTGTCTTTTCTTGCGTCGTCTCCATTCTTCCATGCGCTTCTGCATAATGTTGTTGCGGACTTGTCAGCATGCATCGATCGACAACTCACAGTTGCACAGACTGGTTGTATACACGGATGTCAGTGCAGCGACGGATGTACCATGGATGTGGATGGCCGCCCGTGTCGACGACGGTGCGCGGGAGTTTCCGCGGGCGCCCCCCGCGAGCCATGAGAGCATGGCTGGCCCCGAGGTGTCCCCTCTTGAGGCCGTTGTGACTCCGATGGCCCCTCCCGTCCTCGTTTTCCCTTCTCATCCTGCTCCCTTCCTCGCATGCGTGTTGCGAGCGGCAGTGAGGGGTAGCGTGGTTGGGTTGATGGGTTTGCAGTGTTGAGGTAGAAGGGGAGGGTGGCTGCTTTGCCTCATGATGTCACATGCTTGACCCCGCGTGCTGGCCGAGGGCCGAGAGTGCGAATAGCGCGCCCCGCCACGCCGAGCTGGCGAAGTGGTGTCTGCAGAGGGCAAGCGGAGAGGCGAATGTCAAGCTGCCCCATCAGTGCGCTATTTCCCGAGGGGGTAGACCCGTAGAGCCCATACGGGTGCCTACGATGGCTTAAATGCGACGGAGCGTGTATCCCCTCGGGACCATGGAGTATCACCTTCATGTATTCCCCTCTGCCTCCACCTCCGCACCCTTCCACGCGCGCGGCGAGCGGCAGAGAAGGGGTAGCAGGGTCGGGTCTGTTGCAGGGTTGGGGTAGCAGGGGAGGGTTGCTGCCTCCTGCTGTCACTGCATTGCCTGCCCACTGTTTGCGGACACCCTGGAATGTATTTGTCAGGACCGTCTCTTTGCATTTTGTAGTGCGCGTCGCGTGCTGGTGCTCAGGCGCGGGCGGCTTGGCCGAGAGCGCGAATAGCGTGCCCCGCCATGCTTTCTGGCGCGATGGTGCCCGCAGCGGACTCGCTGAGAGACGATGTCCTTCTCGCCTGCTCTCTCTCCTGCTCACATGTGTTCCCCTATCTCTTCCCCGCACTCGTGTACCGTCAGTGGCGTAGCCTGTTCGGCAAGCGATGCTGTTGGGGATGGGCCAGTTGGAGGGTGGGAATGGAGCATTCTTGACATGTACTCCGCCCGTTTGGGGTTGGAGCCTGGTCGTGTTTTGAGACGCACGGCGCCAAGCTGTCATACCTAGTGGGCGTGGTCGTTTGGGGGGGGGGGGGAGCATGGGGTGGCTGGGCCGTGAACATGTGCTCTCCTTGGCGCCCGTGCTTCGATGCTCTCGACTGCTCGTTTGTATGAAGCTAGCTGAGTGCCGACGCTATCTGACCGCTGTCCGTGGCGAATCAGGTCGCAATTCAAAAACAAATCCTCCTCCTCCTCCTGCAGTTGGTAGCGGAGCGGGGTTCCGCTGGCGGGCCAACGGATGCTGACGCGAGCCAGGGGGCGGCCGGCGTCGCGCGGTCGAGAGCTCCCATGGAGCCCTGCTCGCGCTCCCGGCGTGCGGCGTGCCATCCACGGCGACCCGATGCGTTCGGCTCCTCCTCCTCCCTCTCCCTCCTCCCCCTCCTCCCCCTCCTCCCCCTCCTCCTCCCTGATGCGTTCGGGCGAGAAGATGTGGAACGTTGCGCTTGCGGTGGTCGATCCCTTGCTCGGCAGTCCGGCGGGCAGCCTGGGTCGGGAAGAGCAGCGGTGTCCAGGGTCGAGCTCAGGGAACTGATCAGTGAGTCCGGCAGACTATCGTCGCGCAGTCGGCGGATTCTGAAGGCCGCCGGAGACGAACGTGAGGCAGAAAGGGACAAGGGCGAATGCGTCCGCGATGGCCCACGAGAGCGAGGCAGAGAAACCGTCGCTTTCATGCGGGGAAGGACGGCAAGAGACTGGTGGCGCGGCAGAAATGGTCACGAATGGTACCCCAGCCGAGGCGGCTGGCAGTGCGACCACTGCGGCGGCGCTGCAGGGGGCGCGGGCGGCGCATCCGGGGAGTTGGCGGGGGCTCGGTCTGGGAACAGCGATCTCATCGACCCTCCTGCCCAGCATGGCCCAAGCCACCCCTCGTCAAGGGGGCCTGGCGCTGGAACGTTGGAGCAGCAATGCGGACGTACAGGCATGGCGCATATCGGAGACATTCTTCAGGATTTTTTTTTTTTTTTTTTTTTTTTTTTTTTTTTTTTTTTTTTTTTTTTTTTTTTTTTTTTTTTTTTTTTTTTTTTTTTTTTTTTTTCATTTCATGGGAGGTTTCAGGCAAAGTTCGAAGACAACCTTGCATGCCAATTGCCGAGTGAGAGCTGGCTGAGTATCATGCTGGCCAGGATTGGCATCATGAGTGGAAGGCCTGGTGGCGATGAGGTGCGGCGGCCAAGCCAGATGGCGCTCTGCGAGTCGAGGCCCGAGGCGAAGGATTCATTCAGTCGTATAGGCGCCCAGATGCTCGATGTAGATGGAACGGTCTGGCCATTCATAACCTCCTCGTCAACGCCGAGGCGGTCGCTGGGGAGGTGCGCTATGAGGTGGTAGCTCGCGGGCGCCGCTCATGCTGGGCACGCGTTCGTCGATCCCAGTGCAGGAAGCGACCTCTTCGGAGTCCAGTCGTTAAGCGGGGGGTCCCATGCCGGCAAGACGGAGCGCGGAGCCGGTGGCCCGGACAATGTCATCGGCGCGATCCAGCTGCCCTTATGTATCGGAGGAGCTCTGGGAACCGTGGGGCGACAGTGCTGACCGACGATGTGCCGCGCACTCAGTGTGAACTTGCTCGATGGGCGCGTGATCGGCCTGCCGGAGAACATCGCGGCGTCGGCGATGCTCGGGCAGTGCGCCCCGTCGACCCGCCTGCGGCCAGGCCGTGGGGTGGCCGACGTCGCGCAGCAGCTCGGCAAGGATAGCGGGGCCCCATCCGCAGCCCTGGGGCGACGCTCCTTTCCATCGCCCGTTTTTTTCATTGTTGGAGGCGGCTCGGCCGCAGATGTGACCGACGACGGCTCCGCGTCGGAGTTCATGTGGTCGCTCCTTCTCATCGACCTCTCTCGGGGGGTCGTGCAGTTAGCCCTGTGGCGGGGGGCTTCTTAGGGTGCGAGTGAGACCGAGTCGGATCGAGACCGTGCGGTCGGAAACGTCTGCGAGGTATTTCGAGAAGACCAGGGGGTTCGCGTTCGTGGTGTACCTGAGCCTCGCCGGGGTGCCAGTGTCCTTGTGAAAGTTCCCAGGTGAATCTCGTTCAGTTAGCTGTCCTCGAACCCGTCGGGACCTCAGGGCCCGGAGGGGAGCTCATGTGTGGGTTCTGGTCTAGGGCGTGATGATGTTTGGGTCGGCCATTCTAGCTTCGCCAATCAGCTTGCCTTGTTGCGGCCGCTCGTGCAGACCCGCCTTCGCTCGCTGCCTGCGCGCTCATCCCGGACCGACCGAGATCTGAAAGCGATGAATTGTTGCCGCATGAGGGGCTTGCGTCGCATCGCAGGCGTACTTCGATTCAGCATCGACAGCGCTACAGCCTGCGTCGCTTCATTCTTGGATTGCGGCTGGCGCTCGTCGCGTGCTTCTGTTGCGACTGCCCGAACGTTTTGTCGGGCCTCTTTCGTCTGCGCGTCGGGCCCGGCAGCGAACGTTTCCCGAGGGTGACATTGCGGACGCGATATGTAAACGTGCTGATAGTTCCCTTTTGCCAGGCCAGTCGGCCAGGTCTTCTCGAGTGCCTTTTTTTTCTGTCGCGTCCTCCTCTTCACGTCCGCGAGTTTCGTGCTTTGTTCGACTGGTCGTAAATAGCTGGATGCAATGAGCGATGCGTAGCATTGAGAGCAGTCGTACGTTGAATGCAAGGCGGTCGCTCGTAGAAGGTGGGTTGCACGTGGCGGTCTGTGGGGGGATTGCGCGGTAGAGCGTAAGTAATGTTGAGCAATCGGTACGCGGCAAGTGGGCAAGTGGTTTGTGGTGGTGTAAAATGCCAGGTGCTCTTTCTCTTCGAGATCCTTGAGTCGCCCCTTCTCCTCGTCCCTGTTTGTTTAAAGCTCCTTTCCCTTGCATTTTCCGCTCCCGCCTCCGCCCCCCCGCCCCCCGTCCTGCCCCCTCGCGCCCCCGCCCGCCCAGCGCGCTGTCGAACGTATCCCCCTCTCCAGCCGCCAGTCTCTCCCCCCCCGTCCCGGCCCCGCGACGCAGCGCGGCGCCGGCTTGGATCGCGTTCCCCGTGCCCCTCTGCGTTATGTTCGGAGCGCAACAGTTATGCTCGAGTGCCTTTTCTGGCCGCCGGGGGCCCTGAAAGCTGGGCACCGCGCGATCTACTTAGCAGCCGCAGTGGTGCTGTCCCGATGGCCATGGCGCGAGCCCTTTTCTTGGGATGGCCAGCCGATTCCGCGGGCCCCAGCTGGCCCCGCCCTCGCCGACGATGCCAGGGCGTTCCGGGGGCAGCATCGGTGTATATCCCAAACCCCATCAGGATACGACTATGCGTTCACACCGAAAAGTGCATGCACCAACCATGCCACATTGGTGTGCGCACTCCACCGTGTCAATAACGAGTGTCCGTATTCACCGGAAGCTGTATATACCAATCGCCTGGGCTGGGTTTCGCCGCCTGGGGCGGGGGCGGTCGTGGTTCGCCGGGTCGGGATCATTCCTGGTGGGCATGCCAACGAGCTTGCATATGTGCGTCTGCTCGCACGCAGCCACGCGCATGCATTCACGCGGTGCGGGGGAGACGATGATGTTGCCAAATTCCATCGAAGCGGGAAGGATATATTTGTATATTTGCTGTCCCCACATCTGTTGCCTTGTGGTTGGGGGGCAAGTGCTGGGCCGCCATTGGGGATTTCATCGCTACAGGGATTTCAAAACAACTAGGATGGCATGCCAGGCCTCAGCCTTGCGGGTCCACGTTTAAATGATGTTTTGAACATTTCTTGTTTTGCTCCGTGCGCTGAAACCGTCGCGCGACATAGATACAACAACTTGGTTTAAACAGTGGCAATGTCCATGACGTCGTGTTGGTGGTTGTGCGGATGGTTGTGCTGGTGGTTGTGCTGGCGATTGTGCGGGCGGTTGTGCTGGTGGTAATGGGCTGTTGGCTGTGCTGGTGGTTGTGCTGGTGGTTTTGCTTGTGGTTGTGCTGGTGTTTGTTCTGGCGGTACTTGTGCTCGCGCTGGTGATGGTTGTGCTGGTGGTTGTGCTGATCATTGTTGTACTGGTCGTGGTTGTGTTGCTGGTGGTTGTGATGGTGGCGTTTGCGCTTGTGGTGGTTGTGGTGGCGGTGGTTGTGCTGATGGTTGTGCTGGTGGTTTTGCTGGTGGTTTGTGCTGGTGGGCTGTGCTCGTGGTGGTTGTGCTGGTGATAGTTGTGCTGTTTGTGATGGTGGCGGTTGCGCTGGCGGCGGTGCTGGTGTTTGTGCGCAACCACCAGCGCCGTCGCCTCCAACGCAACCGCAAGCACAACCACCACCAGCACAACCAACACAATCATCACCGTCGCAACCACCACCAGCGCAACCAGCACAACCACTACCAGCGCAACCACCAGCTCAACCACCACTAGCACAACCAACACAATCACCACCATCACAACCACCAGCAGAATTTGCCAAGTGTTCCTCCAGATCATTATCCGGATCTTCCTCGAGGTCCTCCACCAGATTTTCTTCTACTTTTTCGTCCACATTTCCCCAGATCTTCCCCCATATCTCCGCGCAGATCTTTTCACAAATATCAGGATTGCCTCTGGATCTTCGCCCAGATTTTTCCCCAGGTCTCCCCCAGATCTCCCCGCAGATCTACCCCAGACCCTCTCCTAGATCTTTGCCCAGAATTTCCACCAGATCTTCCTCCAGATCTTCGCCCAGATCTCCCCCCAGATCTTCACCAGATCTTCCTCCAAACCTGCCCCAGATCTCCCGCCCGATCCACCTCTGGTTCTTCGCCCAGATCTCCCTCCAGATCTTCGCCCAAATCTTCCTCCAGATCTCCGACAGATTTTTCTCCAGATCTTCCGGGATCTCCCGCCTAACCTTTCGCAAAATCATCCTCGGAATATTCAGTCAGATTTCTCCCCAGATCTTCGCCGGATCTCCCTCCTGATTTCCCCCCCGTCTTTCTCCAGACCTTCCTCTAGATTTCCCCCCAGATCCCCCCCAGATCTTCGTCCAGATTTCCCCCAGATTTCCGCCCAGATCACCCTCCAGATCTTTACCCACATGTCCTTCCAGATCTTTGCCCAGATCTTCCTTCATATCTTCCACCAGATCTTGCTCCAGATCGTCGGCCAGATCTTCCTCCAGTTCTTCGCCCAGATCTCCCTTCAATTTTCTCTGGCTTCTCCTTCAGATGTTCTCCCAGACCTTTCGCTCAGGTTGTCCTGCAAATCTTTCTGTCGAGATCTTCCCCTAGATTTCTTCCAGAGGCATTATTTGTGTTACTCACGGGTTTGCGCGTCGTAGCCAAAGATACGACGGGAAGTTTTTGGCAGGTTTTGGCCGCCAGGGGCCTTCGCCAGACCCCAGGGCCGTGGAAACACGATCAAGAATGAACCATCAGGTCCTCAGGAAGGATCCCGACCCGTGGGGGGCCACCAGCGCAACCACCAGTACAACCACCAGTACAATCACCATTAGCACAGCCACCATTAGCACAATCACCACCAGCACGACCGCCACAACGACCACCTGCACAAGTACCACCAGCACAACCAACAGCACAACCGCCGCCAGCGCAACTACCATCACATCAACAATCAGCACAATCACGGCCCCAAAGGGCCAATGCACAAGACGGCCCTAGAGGCCACCAAAACGACCTTTCAGGCCCGCCCCCTTCCTTCTCCCTCCTCCTTTTCCTCCTCCTGTTCCTCCCTCCTCCTCCTCCCCCTCGCCCCCCTCCCCTTCCTCCCCTTCCTCCCCTTCCTCCCCTTCTCGCCAAGCAGAGTCCCGGAGACCTTCCTTGAGATCGTCATGGTGGCATCGGGAGCGGAAAAGAGGGGGGTGATGACTAGGAGGGGGTGGATATCATGGCGTGGGCCATGATATTTCCCCAGATCTCATGGCGCCTCATCTTATTTCATTACGTGCCTGGCCCCCCCGCTGGGCCGCGCACATGCCGCCGATCTTGATTTGCACCCCCCCCTCTTGGACGCCCCCCTCTTGGCCGCTCCCGACATGGTGGCAGCAGCCTGCCACGACGGCGAATCCGAGCGATTGCCCTGCCCTGCCTTGCCCTCCCCGCTGCGGGGTTCGTTTCGGTGCTGGCCCGTCGCAGTCCGCGCTGGGCGCGGGGGGCCGGGCGTACCTCCCTCTCCTCCTCCTCCTCCTCCTCCTCCTCCTCCTCCTCCTCCTCCTCCTCCTCCTCCTCCTCCCCCTCCTCCTCCCCCTCTCCTTTTCAATTCAATGCTCTTCCCCAGACCTCCATCGCGTCGTGTTCTGCGTTCGGCAGTTATAACTGGAGTTTTGTTGTTGTTGTTGTTGTTGTTGTTGTTGTTGTTGTTGTTGTTGTTGTTGTTGTTGTTGTTGTACGTTTCGGCCTCCAGGGGCCTTCGCCGGGCCCCGGCATATTCCTCGAGATCTTCTCCTTCAGATCTCCGCCCAGATCTTCCACTAGATCTTCGCGCAGATGTTCCTCCATGTCTTCTTCCAGATCTTCGCCGAGATCTACCCCCAGACATTGCTCCAGGTCTCCCTCCAGATCTTCGCTCAGACCTTCCTCCAGATCTTCGCCCAGATCTTCCTACAGATCTCCTCCAGATATTCACCCGAATCTTCCTTCAGATCATCCCCTAGTTGTTCTTTGGATCTTCCCCCAGATTTTCCCCCCAGATCTTTCCTCAGACCTTCCTCCAGATCTTCTTCCAGATCTTCACCCATGTCTTCGCCCAGATCTTCGTCCAGGTCTTCCTCTAGGTCTCCGCCCAGATTTTCCACCAGATCTTTGTAAAGATCTTCCTCCCAATCTTCTTCCAGATCTTCGCCCAAATTTTCCTCCAGATCTTCGCCCAGATCTTCCTGCAGATCTTTTTCCAGATCTTCCTCTGGATCTGCTGCCAGATCTTCCTCCAGATCTGCCCCAGATCCCGAGATCTTCCATCATATCATCCCCCCTGATTTTTTTTGGGATCTCCCTAGATGTTCCTCCATATTTTCGCCCAGATCTTCGCCCAGATCTTCCTCCAGATCCTCGCCCAGATCTTCCTCCAGGTCTTCTTCCAGATCTTCGCCGAGATCTACCCCCAGATATTGCTCCAGGTCTCCCTCCAGATCTTCGCTCAGACCTTCCTCCAGATCTTCGCCCAGATCTTCCTACAGATCTCCTCCAGATATTCACCCGAATCTTCCTTCAGATCATCCCCTAGTTTTTCTTTGGATGTTCACCTGCATGTTCCCCCAGATTTTCCTCCTAGATCTTTCCCCAGATTTCCCCCCAGATCTTTCCTCAGACCTCCCTCCAGATCTTCTTCCAGATTATCTTCCAGCTTGCGCTCTGGATCTTCCCGCAGATTTGTTTACCTGATCGACAAAACCTTGTTATGTTTTATGCCGCGTCGTGACGCTCTTTTTTACCAGAAGAAATCGTAATTCTATTTTCTGCCACACCTCAGAGCTGCGAGATATACGCGACAACCCAGAATCTTACATGCATTTTTTTTTGGGGGGGGGAAGACCTTTTGTTGAACTGCCGGTACTTGGTGCAGGAGGGGATTGTGGGGGACCAGGTGTGCGTCCACCAGCCCCTTGCAGCACAGAAACATGCGTGGAGTCTCATGGATGCAAACATTTGTTGCTGATTGGCAAACTCTGTGCACCGCGTCCTGGTGGTCCCGCAAGACGGGTTGGCGGATGCTGATCGTTGCTACTATTTTCATAGTGTTTGCAAGCATGACCGTCATGAACATGTTGATCGGCATTCTCTGCGAGGTAATTTCATCTGTTGCAGAGGAGGAGAGAGCTGGCATTCTCACTGAAAATGTGCATCAGAAGTTTGAGTTCGTGGTGGCGTCCTTGGACGAAAATTGTGATGGGCATGTCTCGTACAGGGAGTTCCAGCAGATTATCCAAGTGCCTGCGGCAACTCCGCCATATTCGGGCACCGCCTTCAGAGCCGTCACATGTGACGCCTCCCGCTTCCGCTTCCTGAGGGCCCCTCATGTGGATCACTACCGCCGTCCTGAAGCTGCCTAGGGTTCCCGCGGGGCACTCTTCGGGCTTCCTGGAGGCCCGCCTGGGCCGTCTTGGGACAGTCTTGGTGCTCGATTGGGCTGTCTTTGGGGTTCTTCTGGGTGGCCGTCGGGGAAGTATTCGGGGGCCGTCGTGGGGCCGTCTTGGGCCGTCGACGGGCCCTCTTATGCTTAAGTCGGGCCTGTCCCTCTACAGGAGGAATATTCAAACATAGTCAAAAATAGTCTGGGGACGATTTGCTGATTATATTTGACCATTTTGGAGTATATTTGGAGTATTTTTCTTATTTTTCGTCGAAAATCCCCCTGTACGGGGACACGTCCGACTTAATCTTATGCCGTCTGGGGCCCCGCTGGATGCCCTCTTGGGCTGGTCAGGGTGTTCGCTTGGGGCCGTCCTAGGCTGTCGAGGAGCCCTCTTGGTGATCTCACTGGGCCCTGTTGGGCCTTCGAAAGAGCTCACGCCCACCGATCTTCGACCGAAGAGCATGGGAAGCGAAACGCTTCGAAATTTCATGTCAGCAAGCGTTGGTCCCAAGCAGTGTGTTCCAGCGTGCCATGTGACGCAACCTATGTGGTGCAATTCTGGGGTGTAAGCCATGTGGTGCAATCCATATTAAGCAATCTATGTGGTGCAATCTATGTGATGCAATTGACTACCCTGCACCGCGCCTGACCACCTCCACTGCTCGCGCAAACATCCCACCCACCCACCCGCAACTTGGTCGCAAGACTTCATAAGACAAGACCGTGACGGCTAGGTACCACATGGCACTTGGCCACGACACCGACGCCGACGACGTCAGCGACACCGACGACGACGGCGCCGCCGACACCGACTACGACGACACCGCCGACGTCGACGTCGACGAAGACGACGACGACGAAGACGACGACGACTTCGCCAACGAAGACGACGACGAGGGAGGAGGGAGGACGACGACGGCGACAACGACGACAACGACGACAACGACGATGGATGAGGGAAGACGGCGACGACGCGAACGACGAAGAAGGAGGAAGGACGGCGACGCCGACGACGACAACGACGAGGGAGGAGGGAAGACGACGACGACGACAACGACAACGAAGACGACGACGACGGCGACGAAATAGGAGGGACGACGACGAGACGCCGACGACGGACAACGACGACGACGAGGGAGGAGGATAACGACGAGGGAGGAGTGAAGACGACGACGACGACGACGGCGACGAAATAGGAGGGACAACGACGAAACGCCGACGAAGACGACGAGGGAGGAAAGACGACCACGGCGACAACGACGACGGAAGCGACGACGACGCCAAGACGACGACGACGACGACGACGACGAGGAAAGACAGAAGACGGCGATGGCGACGACGACGACGACGACGACGACGACGAGGGAAGAGGGAGGACGACGACGACGACGACGACGCAAGAGCGCGCGCGCACGCTTCTATTGAAAATCCGTGTTGCAAAACCTTGTGTTTTTGTAGGTTTTTTGGAGACACGATTTTGAAATCCTTCCGAAACCGCTGGGTTTTGAAGGTTTTCGGCATACGCGCGCGACGACGCGCGCGTCTGCACTTCGCCTTTTTTTTGCGGGGGATTCTCGCGACGGCACACGCGCAAGGGCGTTCGACAGATTTCGACACGCGCGCGCGCGACGCCCGTTTAATAGCATTTTGTGAAAATCTTGAGAAACCTATGGTTTTCCTAAGATTTCGCAAGAGCTCGCGCGTAAGCTTTTTTAGCACATCAGTGTTGCGAAACCCTGTTTTTTTTTTTGTGTGTGTGTGTGTGTGTTTTTTGGAAACTCGATTGCGAAATCCTTCTGGCACCGAAGGTTTTTGAAGGATTTCGGCATGCGCGCGAGACGGCGCGCTCGTGTGCACTTCGTTCCGTTTTTTGTAAGGGATTCGTGACAAAGTGCTATGTTCGAACCAAAAATGTCACCGCATAGTGTTTTTTACAAGGGAACCTCCGGGGGGGGATACCGGCCCCCCTGGGATAGTGTAAATTCATATTTCGGATGGACATGTGGTCAGAATCATATAGGATTTACATATCCGAAAGGGGGCCGATAACGCCGGGGGGGGTCAGATCCTATTCTGTTTTGAGAAAGGAGAATCCATTTTGACCGTCTTGAAGCTGTCCTCTCCACTGCTCGTGCAAACATCCCACCCTCCCACCCGCAACTTGGTCGCAAAACCTCTTAAAACAAGACCGTGACGGTAGGTACCAAATGGCACTTGGCCACGACACTGTCGCCGACGACGACAGGGACAACGACGACGACGGCGCCGCCGACACCGACTACGACGACTCCAACGACGTCTCCAACGACTTCGACGACGACAACGACGACGACGACACCGACGACGACGACGACGCCGACGACGACGACGACGACGATGACAACGCCGACGACGACGACGCCGACGACGACGACGCCGACGCCGACGGCGACGGAGACGACGACGACGACGACAACGACGCCGCCAACGAAGACGACGACGAGGGAGGAGGGAGGACGACGACGGCGACAACGACGACAACGACGAGGGAGGAGGGAGGACGGCGACGACGCGAACGACGAAGAAGGAGGGAGGACGGCGACGCCGACGACGACAACGACGAGGGAGGAGGGAAGACGACGACGACGACGACGACGGCGACGAAATAGGAGGGTCGACGACGGGTCGCCGACGACGGACGACGACGTCGAGGGAAGAGGAAACAACGACCACGGCGACAACGACGACGGAAACGACGACGACGCCAAGACGACGACGACGAGGTAAGACAGAGAACGACGACGACGACGACGACGACGACGACGCGGGAGGAGGGAGGACGGCGACGACGACGACGACGACGACGCCGCAAGAGCGCGCGCGCGCACGCTTTTGTTGAAAATCCGTGTTGCGAAACCCTGAGTTTTTGTAGGTTTTTTGGACGTGCGATTTTGAAATCCTTGCGAAACCGATGGGTTTTGAAGGATTTCGGCGTACGCGCGCGACGACGCGCGCGTCTGCACTTCGTCTCGTTTTTTGCAGAGGATTCTCGCGACGGCACACGCGCAAGGGCTTTCGACAGATTTCGACATGCGCGCGCGCGACGCCCGTTTAATAGCATTTTGTGAAATTCTTGAAAAACCTACGGTTTTCTTAAGATTTCGCCAGGGCTCGCGCGTAAGCTTGTTTAACAAATCAGTGTTACGAAACCATGTGTTTTCGTATGTTTTTTTGGAGACTCGTTTGCGAACTCTTCCGGCACCGAAGATTTTTGAAGGATTTCGGCATGCGCGCGCGACGACGCGCGCGTGTGCACTTCGCCCCGTTTTCTGCAAAGGATTCGTGAACAAGTGTTATGTCAGAACAAGAAATGTCACCGCATAGTGTTTTTGTACCAGGGAACCTCAGGGGGGTCGATACCGGCCCCCCTGGGATAGTGTAAATTCGTATTTATGATGGATATGTGGTCAGAATCATATATGATTTACATGCCCGAAAGGGGGGGCGATAACGCCGGGGGGGGGGGGGGGTAGAGTCTATTCTCTTGTTAGAAAGGAGAATCAATCACTTGCTCAACTTGAAGCTGTCCTCTCCACTGCTCGTGCAAACATCCCACCCTCCCACCTGCAACTTGGTCGCAAGACCTCCGTGACGGTGGGTACCAAATGGCACTTGCCATCGACACCGACGCCGATGACGACAGCGACAACGACGACGATGCCGCCGACAATGCCTACGACGACACCGACGACGTCTCCAACGACTTCGACGACGACGACAACGACGGAACCAGCGACAACACCGACGACGACGCCGACGCTGACAACGACGACGATGACAACGCCGACGACGACGATGCCGCCGCCGCCGACGACGACGACGCCGACGACGACGACGACGACGACGATGGCGACGACGAAGACGACGACGACGTCGCCAACGAAAACGACGACGACGAAGGAGGAGGGAGGACGACGGCGGCGACGATGACAGCGACGAGGGAGGAGGGAAGACGACGACGACGACGACGGCGACGAAATAGGAGGGACAACGACGAAACGCCGACGAAGACGACGAGGGAGGAAGGACGACCACGGCGACAACGACGACGGAAACCACGACGACGCCAAGACGACGACGATGAGGAAAGACAGAAGACGACGACGGCAACGACGACGACGACCGCGAGGGATACGGGAGGACGGCGACGACGACGACGACGACGTCGCAAGAGCGCGCGCGCACGCTTTCGTTGAAAACCCGTGTTGCGAAACCTTGTGTTTGTGTATGTTTCTTGGACACACGATTTTGAAATCCTTACGAAATCGAAGGTTTGTGAAGGATTTCGGCATGCGCGCGCGCATACGCGCGCGTCTGCACTTCGCTTTTTTTGTTGCGGAGGATTCTCGCGACGGCACGCGCGCAAGGGCGTTCGAAAGATTTCGATATGCGCGCGCGAAGCCCGTTTGGTAGTATTCTTTGGGAATCTTGAAAAACCGATGGTTGTCTTGAGATTTCGCAAGAGCGCGCGCGTAAGCTTTTTTAGGAATCCAGTGTTGCGAAACCATGTGTTTTTGCATGTAATTTGGAAACTCGATTTTGATATCCTTCCGAAACCGAAGATTCGTGAAGGATTTCGGTATGCGCGCGCGACGACGCGCGCGTGTGCACTTTGTCCGCTTTTTGCAAGGGATAGTTGAAAACTTGTGATTTTTGTTTGATGCACAAGAGTGCGCGCATATTTTTTTGCAGAGGATGGCGGGGGGATGGGTACCGGCCTGGCCGGGATAGTCTGAGTTCATATGTAGGATGGATGAGTGTGCAGAATAATATGACATCGCAATACCCCAGGGTGTACCGTTCACTCCAGGGGGGGTGTCGAGTCTATGCGTCTCGGAGAAACGAGAATTTATGTGGTGCAAGCTGCGTCGTGCTGTGCATGTGGCGGACTCTGTGTGTTGACGACAACGGGGCTCGCGCAATCAACGGGGCGACGAAACTGCGGCGGCGAGGGGCGGCGGCGGGCGGCCACACGCCAGTCGGACCGGCACGTCGGCCCAGGCGGGCGGCAGCGACGGGGCGCCCCGGGCCGCCTGGGCCGCCACGAGGGCCCAGACGCGCGGCGGCGACGGGCGGCGACGGGGCGGGGACGCGGCTGCGGCGGGGCGGCCACGAGCCGGCCGGAGCGGCACATGAGCCCACGACGAAGCGGCGACGAGCGGCGACGGGGCGGGGCTGGGGCGGGGACGGGGCGGCCGGGGCGGCACACCAGCCCAGTTCTTTGCAGGACAAGTAGGAGACACTAAGTGCAAGCATGGTTCGGGAAAGGAAGACAAGCCATGCTTTTGACCTCTCGATGGCCTCCTGTAGAGCACCTTTGGGTTGTCTGGGAGCCTCTTGGTGGCCTCTTTGGCATACGCTCCTTCGGAGCTGCTGGGTGCGAGGCAGAGGATGCGAGCTTTCTCGGAAGGCTCAGAAGGCTTCCAGCCTTTGGGAAGCTTTCTGAGCCTATCCCGAAGCCCCGCCGCCTTCTCAGAAGGCCCGCCCCCTCCTCCCTAGCAGCCTCCTAGATGTGGTCTGAGCAGATGGGGTCGGAGGATCGCGCCACATCGCCGATGCATCGCCGATGCATCGGCGACGTCGGCGACGCAACGGCGCAATCGGCGTGGAGAACCTCTGGCTACACACCGAGCCGCACCGCCGATGCATCGTCGATGCGAAACGCTCCTTCGAACCCATCTCTCTTGAGGTGACGTTGGGCCGTCTAGACGGCCTCGATGGCCTTCCCCGGGCGTCGCGGAAACCTCGGAGAGCCTTGAGAAGAGCGCCTGCCCAGGGGGTCCGTCTGGGGGAGGTCGGTGCGTCAAGAGTTTTGTGATGCGAGGGGGGCGGCATTCAGGCTTGAGTCGGGCATGTCCCTCTACAGGAGGAAAAGTCTAAAGCAGTCCAAAAATAGCCGGGGGACGTTTTTTCGATCATTTTTGTTTTTTGTTGGGCATTTTTTTGGTATTTCGAATTTTTCTCCAAATCTGCCTGTAGGGGGACCTGCCCGACCTAAGCTTAGATTTAAGTCGGGCTTGTCCCTCTACAAGAGGAGTATTCAAAAACAGTCAAAAAATAGCCTGGTGACGATTTTCGACTATTTTTGAGTATTCTTGTTCCCAACCATCCTGTGGTGTTGGGTCCTCGTTTTGAAGAGACGGTCCCCGCGTTCCTTCTCCTTCTCCTTCTCCTCCTCCTCGCCCTCCTCCCTCCAGGGTTCGCATGCCTCCCCACCACCCATTTCGGCACACCCCTCACACGTTTCGTGGCCCCATAGGGAGCTCCACCGAAGGCCCCAGTGGCTGCGTTCGCATGCCCCCCCACCACCCATTTCGGCACACCCCTCACACGTTTCGTGGCCCCATAGGGAGCTCCACCGAAGGCCCCAGTGGCTGCGTTCGCATGCCTCCCCACCACCCATTCGGCACACCCCTCACACGTTTCGTGGCCCCATAGGGAGCTCCACCGAAGGCCCCAGTGGCTGCGTTCGCATGCTTCCCCACCACCCATTTCGGCACACCCCTCACACGTTTCGTGGCCCCATAGGGAGCTCCACCGAAGGCCCCAGTGGCTGCGTTCGCATGCCTCCCACCACCCATTTCGGCACACCCCTCACACGTTTCGTGCCCCTAGGGAGCTCCACCGAAGGCCCCAGTAGGGCACACCCCTCACACGTTTCGTGGCCCATAGGGAGCTCCACCGAAGGCCCCAGTGGCTGCGTTCGCATGCCTCCCCACCACCCATTTCGGCACACCCCTCACACGTTTCGTGGCCCCATAGGGAGCTCCACCGAAGGCCCCAGTGGCTGCGTTCGCATGCCTCCCCACCACCCATTTCGGCACACCCCTCACACGTTCGTGGCCCCATAGGGAGCTCCACCGAAGGCCCCAGTGGCTGCGTTCGCATGCCTCCCCACCACCCATTTCGGCACACCCCTCACACGTTTCGTGGCCCCATAGGGAGCTCCACCGAAGGCCCCAGTGGCTGCGTTCGCATGCCTCCCCACCACCCATTTCGGCACACCCCTCACACGTTTCGTGGCCCCATAGGGAGCTCCACCGAAGGCCCCAGTGGCTGCGTTCGCATGCCTCCCCACCACCCATTTCGGCACACCCCTCACACGTTTCGTGGCCCCATAGGGAGCTCCACCGAAGGCCCCAGGCTGGTCCGCATGCCTCCCCACCACCCATTTCGGCACACCCCTCACACGTTTCGTGGCCCCATGGGAGCTCCACCGAAGGCCCCCATGCACCACACTTTTCGGTGCACCCCTCACACGTTTCGTGGCCCCACAGGAGCTCCACCGAACCCCAGTGGCAACGTTTCGCATGCCGCCCCCACACCCATTTCGGCACACCCCTCAAACGGTTCGTGGCCCCATAGGGAGATCCACCGAAGACGGTACTCACACCAGCATTACTCACAACTGCATATGGTTGGGTCCTTCGCCAGGCGATTTTTTGGGAATCTTTTCAACCTTTCTGCCACAGATCCGCCTGTAGGAGGACGTGACCGACCCACACGTAGAAGTCTTTTTAGAAGTACCAGGCATCACTTCTTGGCATTCTGCCACGCCCTTCCACTCGCCAGGGGGGCACGGTGGCGGATTGACCACCCACAAGCACTGCGAGCCTTCGAGAGTTTGAAGGTGGACCCGGAGATCGTAGTGGATTTCGCACAGGTCGGGCGGGTGGCAGTGAGGGGCGACCTACACTCATGATTGTCCAACTTACTTTAGCTTTGACCATCAGGAAAACTTTGCGAGCACCAAGAAGGTACCAGAGCTTGAGGGTTTTCACGTGTCGGGCCCTGGGAGGCGACCTTCGTTCGACACTGTTTCGCGATACTTTCTTGGGTGCTCGGAATTATTTCTGGGATGTGGTCCGCAAGTGCGATATAAGCAACATAAGTCGGGGGTGGACAGAACCCCCAACAGTGACACGTCGATTAGTGAATCGTCCGTTCTCGGTTCTCGAGAGGGCGCCGTGGCCGTTATTTTCCAGGCTTGCGCCCGCCAGGTTTGGGCCTCAGGCCGTTTTCACTAAACCACGTTTTGCGAAAGGGGGGTCTGTCCATCCCCGAATAAGCCTACATGGGGGGTGAAGAAAAGGGCCCTACGGGTGCACTTTAAGGCCCCTTTTGGGCCCCTGCTGGCTACCAAAGGGGCCTTGAAGTGCTCCTTTAGGGCCCTGTCCTTCGCCCCCCCACTTCGGGCACCCCCAATGGCCACCCGCCCGAGCAGGACTGGTTCTTGGACGAGATGGGCCAGCCCAAATCGTTGAACCTGCAGGAGTTTATGGACATGGTGATGGACCTGCGCGGTGGCCAGAACGTGACCATGAAGGAGTTTGTGCGCCTCCGCCCGCTCCTCCTCCCCCTCCTTCTCCTCCTCCTCCTCCATGTCCTCCCCATCCCTTCCAAAATCATCTCCCATACCTGTTGATGAGAGCATTCCGACAAGGCTTTTGTGTCGAATGCCGCAGTGGGTGTGCCAAAGCAGTCAGGCGGGCAGCGCTGGAAGCAACAGCATCAAGAGAGGCGCCGCAGCAGCGGCCGCAGGGAGCAATAGCAGCAGCCGCAACGATAGCACTGATCAACAGCCGCAGCAGCAACAACGGCTAGCAACGGCAGTAGTATGCAGCAGGCAGCGCAGCAGCAGCGGGAGGAAGGGGAGGAATGGGGAGAAGGAGGGGGAGTGGGAGACGCGCGGTGCTGCAGATGGAAAGCAGTGACCCATTTCCACAGGGGGGGTGGGGATGAATGATGGCAGCGCGTAGATCCCAAATGATAGTTTTCAGGAGGGGAAGAAACACACAGACACAATTAATCGTCGACTCCCAGGAAAATATGGGAAAACATGGGAAATGGGGGGAAGACGAAAACCCAGAAAATACAGGAAAATATAGGGAATCGTTTTATTTGTGTCTATTTATTTGTGTGTCCCAGGGCCCCTCCAAGTTTCGATCATTCCCGATGTGCGAACCAGGGCCGCCTACGATCCAATTCGATTCGCTGGTTCGGGCCGCGACTCCGGTTCGATTCGATTCGATTCGGTTCGACTCATCGGCATCGGCCGGGGCCAGCCAGAGCCAGGCGTGGCGATCTGATTTCGATTGGATTCGGGACGATTCGCTGGCGACCTGGTCCGTTTCCGATCCGATCCGACCTCGTTTGCGATCCGATCCGTTTCGGACACGATCCGATTTCGTGGTTGGATTCAGCTTAGGCCCGCAAGCTGTGTTGGCAACCTGGATCGGGAGTCTGATGATGATGATGCTGATGATGTTGTTGATGAAGATGATGATGCTGCTGATGATGATGAGACTTATTCATATGATAAAGATGATGATCATGATTATGATAATGCTGATGAATATGACGCTGTTGATGATGCTGCTGCTGATGATGATGCTGCTGATGATGATGCTGATGCTGATGATGCTGATGATGGTGATAATGATGAGGATGATAATGATGATGATGGTGCTTATGCTGGTGATGCTGATAATAATGATGATGATGACGATGGCGCTGATGATGACGATGATGATGATGACGATGATGATGATGCTGATTATGATGATTATGATAATGATGATGATTCTGATGTTGATGCTGATGATGATGATGATGATGATGATGATGATGCTGATGCTGCTGCTGCTGACGACGATGGCGGTGGTGGTGGTGGCGATGATGATGCTGATGCTGCTGATGATGATGACGACGATGATGATATTAATGATGATGCTGATGATGATGCTGATGATGCTGTTGATGATGACGATGATGATGCTGATGATGAGGATGTTGATCACGATGTTGATGATGCTGCTGCTGATGATGACGATGATGCTGTTTTCGATGACGATGCTCATGATGCTGCTGATGCTGCTGATGATCATGATGATTCTTATGGTGGTTGTGGTGGTGGTGGTGGCGGTGGAAGGGGGGTGTTGATGATTCTGATAATGATGTTGCTGATGATAATAATGATGACGATGATGCTGATGATGCTGATGCTGTTGA